TCGCTTGCCGCTACCGACCTCTCGTATAGCTGTAAAAACGTCTCCCTGGCCAATGTCAATTGCGTACCAGTCTACAACAATCCCTCCGTTTCACCTCTGAACTTTTATGCTCACATATTTTGGTGGTGTGGTCGCCATGTTGGATCACTTATGGCAAAATTTGCATGTTTTGAGGCAATCTCTTTCCCATAGGTCTTTGCGCTTTACGTAACGCGCATCTAACTGTGCCGAGTTTGGTTTTGAGGTTGGCTGGTTCCCGCCTCAAGTGTCATAGCGTATCAAACCACAAGAGGCCGGTAACTAGTAATGAATCCGGCATTCTGATTGGTCCGTCACTTTCTCGTTGCTTGTTCTATTTCCCTTGGTTACCTGACGGCAGCGCTTACGCTCGTGGCCGTTCAGGGGTTTCCCTTTTACTTTCGAAAGTTGGGTGAATAACAAACTGTTTCTTTTGTTATAAATTTTCACAAAAACAGCGAGGAATGTCAGAAACATCTTAAATGTGTAAATCTAAGCAGGCAGTATGTTTGAGCATGGCTTTATTGTAGTATTATTGACATGTTTACGCAGAACGGAACTTGGAATGTTTTCAAATGACGTCACTCAGTCACGTGCCTTCCGGCCGGGAATCAGCGAAGTTTTGAGGTAGTCCAAAACGAGTTTTACGACAAGTCGGCGCTTTGCGACAATATGAGTCGGCAAGTTCCGGACAGAAAACCGATCTGTGGAGACTCGTCGTAGGAGATTTTTTTTTTTTTTTTTTTGAGAACAGGCGACAACTAATGCGCGCGCGGATGTCATCCATAAAATTAAATCGGTGTAGCCTTACTGAATTCACGGAACTAAATATGTGAATGTATGGCATTGCATCATAAATGAAACGCGCACGTCAAAATCCAGATTTTAAATAAATATATTAATGGCCCAATACTCTGAATGCATGCACGTCCCATGCAAAACGAATAACACTTTGCGGTGTAACCGAGACAGAACACTGAATACTCTATTCATTATAATATCGCGTGAAATAACACACAATGATGCAATATCCGGTAGTTTCAGTTCCTAGTAAGAGTAAACCCATATCATGACTGACTGACTCGGACGTGACTATTAGCTCAGTTGAATGGCTGAGCTTGAGTCATGAGTCACCATTCCCTAAAACGGTTTAATGTATTAGTTTAATCTATTGACGTCTTTACTCAAATCGACACAAACCCGCGTTGATTGTCCTGCAGAGGTTCCGTGAATTCACCAGGCAATAACAAAAGACAGTCGATTGTGCTAAATTATGCAAATTATTATGCGATTATGTAAAAAGTAACTAATAGTCCTTTGCAATAATATATAATGACAGTACACATTTTACTTACGTTAGTTACGTAATTTGAAGGAAGTGTCGTCAATATTGTAAAATATCAGGAGGACGCATGGGAGTAGCAGGGAACAAATTTGAAGCGGATTTCCTCTTTAGTCGACGTCAGATTACGTCAGTTGAAATGGAAAGACATTGTTACATATAGGCTTTTCATGGTAGACAAAAGGAATCATAGCGGCGTGGTTGAATTCTCGTTGATTACACAGCGAGATAGCTCTCATAACGTATGATGGGAGGTTCGAAGTAGCGTACCGTACCTCCATCGACGTCCTAATTTGACAACTATTATTGGCCCAGCCGATTAAAACACAGTGCAACAAAGGTTGATTTTATTACACAGCAATGGTCGACGTAATTGTTTTTTCACTGAATCGGTCTGTACGGCGCCGGCGTTGTAGCTTTACTGATAGCTTGTAGTCCCAATATTGATTCTCCCCTGAAGTGTTTTCTGACAAAATATTCACAAATGTTTGTCATCACTTAATTTGCCTAATTTCGAATTAAATCTATTCACATTTCGCGCTTACTATCAACAAATGTTCAGTGCACCAACACGATCAATTAAGCTTTTCACATTCTCGACGTTTCAAAACCTGCGCGTTTGAACAAATCGCTGTATCGCCATTGTGATAGTACAGATCATGCCCTGTGTGGTTTATTACGCACTGCGTGTAAACAACCGTGTGTCCACGTGATTTGCGCACACTCGTAATTACATTAATTATAAGGCTCAATTTCAACCGCAAATACCCATGGATGCGAAGGTTGCATCAAATACTTATTTTAGTTCCATGGTCAAATTGATCGCAAACGTTTATTTTTAGCCGGCCTTAAATGCCACATCTCTGTTTGAGTAGAATACATTTGCTGTTTGTCAATAAAACTACGTCTTTCAAGGCTTCTCAAAATGTTGCCACAAAAAAAGGCATGGCAGGCCGGCCATTGCAAATTTAGGAGTTAATAATTGCTGATTAATTGATTTATATACTATTAATATTCGAAAAATAAATTAATGTAAGCGCGATATAAATACATGTATAAGCAGTGCCATGTTGAAACACACCGTAACCTAACAATAATTATAACAATTTGTTTTGACTGGCTACCACACTTTTGCAATTACATGTCAGACAGTGCCAGGCTTTTTCGTTTACTCCAAACCGATCGAGATTGCATTCAACACTGGAGGTAATATAACTATGTAATAACACAGTCCCTATATAGAGGGACTGTGGTAATAACTAGCGGATAACAACTACCAGGTGGTACTTTATTACGGTACACAATGCCTGTTACAGCTGTCCTGTGTCAATTACACCCCTGCTTTGTTGCTACCAACTACGCAAATATGACGGGCGAAAAGTCGCGAGGTAGAAGCGGTCCCGCACGTGTCGCCGCAGTTATAATACACGGAAATGAACAAACATTGATGCTAATATTAATAATATTATTATGTATTAATAAGTAGGGTGCTGCTCTTTATTGACCCCCATTCTGAATAAGGCGGCAAATGATAATCTTGTTGACGTTAAAATTCACAATATGCTTGGTTAGACTTAGTTCCTGTTTCCTGCGCATGTGCATACTGTTAGGTTGTTACCACCACGTCGTTATCAATTAACAACTGTGCGGGGATCACTTGCTCTACAAATACAGTAGACTAATTGGGTTGTTCCGTAGTACGGTGAGTATGTACAGAGAGATGCTGCGTCTCCAAAGTTGATCCCTATATTTAGTGAGTCGGTCGGCACAATCGCCGTATCATCAGATAGACACACCTTCCACTTGATACAATCGGCGTCTCAATCTACTTGTATCGACACCAGAAATAATACACTGCTCTCTGTTTTTACTATTTCATTCACAGATCGTTAAGGTGGTCCAGCCTGGACGCGATAACACTGAGATGGGGGTCACGGTCACCAACGCGGAGGTTGATGTAGCGTGGGGTTAGTATATACGACCATTATCGAACAGATCTGAGAGTGGTTCACCGTGTGGTCGTTACACGAGTATATACATTTCCGACCTAAGGCCAACAAACAGTGTTAAATCAGACCGCGACAGCAGTTTACTTAGGAACGCCACTGCAATACGGGCATTAGAATCACCAGTAATAGCGTTAGCGTACCTTAACTTCAGAAAGTGTTTGTAAGCCTGTCACGTTACGACGCAGGGTAATGTCATCGCAGTTGTGATCACGTCATCTACACTGAGGGGTGTTTGCATCGATACGTGGTATCAGACGACAACGTGAATTTATGTCATCGACGTCGACGATGTACAATGCCTCCGCTAACTGGTCGAGCGACGAACCACCGACGGAGTACGAGTTACCGGTTTCGCCGTACAGCTTACCCGTAAAAGTTGTGTTACTCATCTTGTCCATAGCGATAACCGCCGCAGCAATTGTCGGAAATGCCCTGATTATTACGGCTTTCTTTACAACGCCTCGACTGCGAAGACTGACAAATTATTTTTACGTAAGTTTGGCTATAACTGACCTAACCGCGGGGATACTTGTCATGCCGTATATGGTCTCGTACACAATTCTTTTTTACTGGAAATTTGGAAAACCGTTTTGCGTCTTCTGGTTGTGTGTCGACATGTTCGTGTATTCGTCATCAGTATACCACATGTGTGTTATATGCCTGGATCGTTTTCTTGCCATAAGGTTTCCATTTATGTACCGTATCAGGCGAACACGTAAACTGGTGATCACACTTCTTATTACAGCGTGGGCCTTGGGGCTGGCTTTCGAAGTTCCTGTCACGATTTTGTACGAACACATTGCCGGGGAAAGTGTGATCGCTTATGAAGAGGAGTGCGACGTAGAATGGGTGGAGAATGCGCCGGTGACGATCGTCAGTTTTATTGTTACAGTGATTATCCCATTTTTATTCACCCTTATACTTTACGTGCATATTTTCGTGACGATTCGTCGAAGTCATCGCTATTCAATAACTACAGAAAGCCAAACAAACACAGCGGACAAAAAGGAAGCGGGGCGTTTGAAAAGCTCCACGTTATTTGCCTGTATGAGACTGAGGCCACGCTTTGATCGTAACAGAACTGAAAGTGATCAGGACAAAAGCGTAGCTGACCAGAACGCCGAGTCCATTCAGGTCACTAAAACCAAGAACGAACGTGCACAATATACTGGATTTAATTTCAGCTTGTGCAAGCGATTGCGAAATATCTGTTGTTTTCATTGGAAACATCATAGTTACAACTTAAATGAATCGTTTACAACGAACCCGCTCAATACACAGAAACACAAGGTGATCATGGTTGGCTTCCAACAGAGAGCGTTAACTGACATTTCCGAGGTGCAATCAGAAGGCCGACTGAGAAGTCTCGGAATGAATTCGACTACTGTCGATTTCAGTACTTACAACGAGCACACGACTGACACGGAAAAGGATGTTTCACACGTTTTTCCATCGCGGTACACGGACCAACACAGTGATATTAATAAGAACACTAATTCAATATTAGAAAACTCCTATTCATATGTAAATAAGGGAATGACAATTGAATTAGAAGATGTATCTATCACAAATATACCGTTTATACATAATAAAACAAAAGGCACCAATACTAGACCAATCAATGAAAAGGACGAAACGGTGTCTCACTATGAACAGGAAGCCAGAAAAAATAAGTCTTTTGAGACTAGACGGACAGAAGAACAAATAATCACCACCACGAGAGTAAATAAAACAATGAAAAAGAAAGAGATCAACGGGAATGAAAACTACAATTGCGAAAAAGATGCTAATCGGCGTAGAAGCAAAGAATCCCTGATGGCAAAACAAAAAGCCAAAGAGAGACGGGCAGCCGCCACTCTAGGCATTTTACTAGGGGTATTTCTCATCACATGGTTGCCATGGAAAATAACGACAATAGCCGACTCATTTGCGCAAAAGTATCTTTTCCCAGATCTGTGGTATGAATTCGCCATCTGGTTGCAATATTCTAATTCAATGATTAATCCATTTCTATATATATTCCGGGACAAACACTTTCGAATTGCCGTTAGGGGAATAATTTGTCGATTTTTATGTCGGAAACATGTTGGTCAAAACTCTAGCTCTAGTTCAGGGCAAATAAATTCTCGCCGCCCAGCGATAAGCCACGTGTATGTCACAACCAGCGAATTTTAAGTCGGGTCTGATTTGTTTTGAAACAGAGTTGAGCATATTGTATAAAATTACATTATTTTCTACCGGTGGATAATATATACACATATTTGCCCGATATTTATTTAAGAAATATTAAAAGGCGATAGTCGTCATCCAGCGCGCGTTGGGATTGTGTGTAAATGTATTTGCACGCATTGTGCTCGTCAAATGGAATCCATGCGAAGCGCGACGAGGAGCGACGACCACCGCCCTTTAATCATGCTTTATTTGATAATGTCATTAAAGTTTCGATAACCAAGGTAACTTATATGTCGTATGTTTTATATATTAGTATTTATTAATATCATGAATTTGGATTCCCCCCATTATATTCCAGTTTGTAGCTTTATAAATAAATATTACATTTAAATGTGCGACATCGCAATCGTGATGAAAAAAATATTAGTCTCTCTTTTTTCCGCCCCTTTCCTTGTTCACACATTGCATTCGCAACTTGAGCAATGTCCCAGATATGTCGCCTGCAACGCAACTCAATTCCGAATCTCGCTTCTACAATGATGCACACGACTGAATACACGCCGTTTTGCGTCACGTGTTGCCCAGTCAGGAAAACACACGATACCTATAGCAACGGGAAATGAAATCATGCAGTGGACGGCTTATCTCACTTGCAAACGAGTGTCACGGTACATTCGAGATAATAACTAATATATTAGTTTTCTGTATATTAAAAAAAGATATATTTATGTATGCTTTAAAAATTAATATGATAATAACTAGACCAAAACTAGACCATTTTTCTTAATATAGAATTACTAAAAATATACTGAAAGCTATTTGTCTGGCAGACACTCTGGCGTGACCAGGTTAAATTTAGATATTAGTACCGCCTTACCGTTGAGTCAAGGAGCGGCAATTCGAAAGATTAACCACAGACTGGAGACAACTTGATTTAACACAACATAGACATAAACTGACTCTTTGAATAGCGTAACATTGACCTACACACTTCACCGTGACATCCAATCATGTGTTTATAATACATAGACAAACTACCTCAACTTAACTAGTGTGTTCTCGTTCGACACAGAGACGCCCACGGGGGTGCGTGACAGGAATTCCACTTCAATAGGCGTACCGAGTGAAACAAACTGAGACATAAGCGATGTTTGCGATCTACATTGTTGTACGGTCGGTGGTACCTACATAGCACCATGTAAATACACAGTAAACTTTTTATAAACACTGTATAATAAAGCGTAAGGATGCTCACTGGGGCGTAGGAATCAACACGTAAACCGTATAAACTCCCCTGGGTGGTTACAACCCGGTGAGACATCTCAGAGATAATCGTGCACGTAACAGCGACTTTTTTTTTATCACAGGGTCTATCTATTGAACATATGAAGTAAAGAAAAGACTCGCTCTAGTTGGTCTGGAAATTGTACCGCGACACCCCCCACTATCTTAATGACATTCTGGATCGTCACCACACATAAATATTCGGAAATATGTAATTCAACAGACAATTGAACACCTTTAATGACGAATATATTATCTGTATGCATGTTATTAAGAAGTAATTAAGTACGAGTCCGAATAACATACAGTGACAATATGAAAAAAATATAAAAGACAAAACTAGTACATAATATTATTCGGCCTAATATCCTGAAGTTCAAAAACAAAACAAAAAAAACGTGTCATAAACACGCACGTTCTCCTCATTAAAACACTCATGATTTTTAAAATACCTATACTAACTATAAAACTGCGCCAGCAATATAACATAGCTAGAAATAATGTAGAACACATATACCATATAAATCACATTCACATGCGTACGACGTCATCACGATTCGGCGAAATAATGTCACGGACCCTTATGTTTGAACCTATTATGTTTCCATCAGATTGCAACATATGCGCCCATAATGCCAATTTTAATCAGCCCGCTCTGCTGTGAATAATAACAATAAAGGTCAAACGAGTTAAGTTGACATTTTAAATTATACACACGTCTGTGTTTAACAAACCCAAAGTAAACACCAGAAATATACTGCGTAATAAATGGTAGCAGGATAGTTTTTTTTGCATGGAAAATGTAAACACCTATTATCAGAATAAATTTTACAAGAAACCATATAATCTATATATGTTTGGAAAGCCCTTGACTTGTACTTTTCTATTATTAATATTTTGTGAACATTGTGTTTGTTTTAGCGTCACGTGATTCTGAAAATCGGCGCGGCTGATAATTAACTAACGTGAATACATTTTAAAATATCAGCTCTACGGTCATGCATAGGTCAAAAACTTTACACTGTTTTGAAGCAAGGGTAATGAAGTTTAAATCCGTATTTCTATTTTTTACATTAAGTTTTTTTTCCTCTCCGAAAATCAAAAATTTCAAGCCCGTTTTTTGGTGTTGAAGTTAGTGTATATCGGGGGTTTGCGCGAGGTTTGTGAAAATACGCGATAGAATTTCGCAAAAATGTAAATACGGATACGAAGCCAACATATTCGAGAGTACGAAAAGCTAAACGGCGACATCGTAGCGCTACTCACTGAAACGCCATTTAAAATTAGGTCAACGGTAATTTCCAGAAACCGAACACCGAGAAATCGGCACTTTTATGATTTTAAACTTCAATCGACGTTAACTCAAGTTTTACCAGCAAAATTTATATGGGCTAATAGTAAATAAATTACTTTGAAGGTTGTTTTCAAGAAAAATCATGAATCAACATTTATATCTGTAAAAAAACAGTATTTTTTGACGGTTTTCTTTCACGTTATGGAGTTTTGAGACGGTCTGTGCTGATAACGAACGGTTACGTCATTCATTACAGCTAGGATTATTTATGCAAAGTAGGCGGTTCTGTGCAGCTATTATTATAAATTATAAATTACTAAGCTATACCGAGAATATGATATCAAACAACAACTAGAAATCGCCCAGAGAGCGCAGACATCGACCAAGCAGCTCAACTCCTCACACAATGTGACTTCAAGTTAAAATCTAAAATAACGCATCTACATTAATTGTATTTACATTATTAGATTCGTTGATCATGAAAACTTATACACTTAGCATTTTTCAATCAACATACATTTAAACTGTATTTATCACCATTATTATTGATAGTGCCAGTATTTTTTAAAATATTTTTCGCGATGATATCAATGTCATGTAAATTATTCTTGGATGAATAAAACATTTTATTATTACTATTATTATTTAAATATTTATCAGCAAAAAATATTTTTTTTTGCGTGATCTAGCTCTGTAACTATTGAAGATGCAACGACTCCGGGAGTTGACACATTCAGGCAACTTGGCCACACTTTGGTGTTAGTTACATTTGTCACCTAGCGTTTGTTATATATAGCGTTTGAGAATCCATCGACGTGCTTATTTTTTCTGGTCTGGATCATAATATTCATAATTTTGCCAGGATTCTGAGAGAAACCTTGACATTTCCATAGAAATCATGGGAATTCTATTTTGCATTTTGTTTTTGCCAAACGCACGCATTTATTATGGAGTTTTATATACATATACCAAATTGGGTCTATCTCTCAATGATAAAAATCATAAAAAACTTCCTAGATCAAGACGCTTATCCGGAACACTATATCAGAGCAATGCTTTTACAGCGTTTTCCGTAAGGCCGCTATCAGACAAACCAATTCAACGCTACAAAAAACACAATCTATTGTTGAGGTAAACATACTGACAATTCAGCACTTGTATAGGTGACAAAGGAGGTAAATTCGTGGCAACCAAATAAGCACTAAGCGAGTAGGAATTTGGAAATGCAGGTCAACATTTTAAACTAGTTCATGGTATTCACACCAACTGCATGCATGCATGTGGATTGCAATAGTCCATTTTCCGTTCACTGCGAGAATCACGAGTTATGCGTGAAATCGAACGTAAAAACAAGACAAACAAAAGTCATAGCGTCGTAGTGGCGTCAAACATCGCATGAGATTCGACAAACGCGAATTTCCATGCTTAATAATGTGCTGTACACATTTGATGATAGACAATTTCGATTAAGTCAGACGATAAGAGTTACGAAATAAAGAAATTCGATTTTTGTGGCAGACGTTCGACGCGCGTCTTTCATGCATCTCGCGAGATCTCGCAGTTGAACGGAAAATCAACTATTGACTATGTGATTGACATGACCATGCGACTATGCTAATCTACGACGAAACACGACAGTACGTTGCATATTATATCAATTCGTTCTATTTTTAAAGCACATTATTTACCAAACTGTCTGTTTTCAAACCCAGCATTTGTTGGATTTATCGCTTCGGAACAATACAAAAAATACATTAATATAAATAATTACAAAAATGTTATATATTATAAATTATATATTGTGCAATGAAACAACATTCATTGTGGTATTATGGTTTTCGATTGACCCCAAGTGATAAATTAGAATAATATAAATATATATTAATATAAATAAAGCGTGTGGGAAATATATACATTTAAACTATTGGTATTAAACTAGGAGTGTCACAATAGAAGGAGTGTTCGATGCCTTACAAAGCAACACAAGGTTTCTAGGTTCATGAGACGTAGATCACTGTTAACAAAATAAAGAAGTGACCACCATGAGCCACTGACGTCTCAGCTGTGGTACCAGGTGTAAGGAGTAAGCATACTTTGCAGACCAGTCACAACCATCATAATTGGGGGTGGGGGGGGGTGATATTGTAATTCATGTCAAGTAATTCAAATATACACTTAGCAAGTCATAGAGAATTTATATAGAGTCGTAAATACGAATGCCATCTCGCATAATTTACTTGGCGTACAAGTCATATTTGGTAATTTATACTGTTTATATCTTCCAAAGAACTGTTTGAAGGTCTTAACCAGTCTATTTTTCGAATAACCTTGCTCAAATAGCTGTGCAGTGAGCTATGTCTTACTTGAACATTATCTACATACCCTACAGTATCTTAAAAGTTTAGACAAGTATTCACCATAAGTA